CCTCATTTATAGGCGTGGATTTTTTAAAGAATATTTTTTGAAGCACGTCGTATATGAATAACGTCATATACGCCGCCTTCGATTACCCCTGAACATGATACTATCGATAACACTTAAATCGATAGTAATTGGCTCTCTTTTTCATTGGGTCACCTAAAGTCAATCTATTGAGAGAGAGTGGGCAAAATCTAGAGTTGGGCAATCTAGTTCACGTAGCGGATCGATCATTCTCGTTTCTTTTTTAAAAAGGAACTAGTTCCTTAATGTAGTTCCTTTGAACTATGTAATTACTTCATAATTAAGAGTCGAACCACGAATAAGAGAGGGAACAACGCTCGTCTGTACATGGCATTAGACTTTTCAATACAAAAAGTCCGATTAATCGAAAGTCGATTTACTTATCCCTAATCATAATTTGCCTAAACCTCATTCGTAATGCCATGTTCTGACGGGCATCCGAACAACGTAGTTCGCTCTCATAATTACGTACATGAATTAACCCGTTCATACAACACTATTCATAATTCATATCATCAGAGTTTTTTATTTCAAACTTTTTGTTTCTTGTTTTACACCAAAAATGTAACATATTTTAGTAATTACATAGGGATCTAAATAGAAAAAATAATTCTCTTTCCCCTGACTATAGTATGAACCCATATCTATTTACTTTTCATTCATGTTTTCCATTTTTTCTGAAAATGTTGTTGTTTTTAATACATTTTTATATTTTCTCAATTCAAATGTCACATACTGTCACAAATAAAAATTTAGAGAATTGTTTGTTTGAGTTGCCCCACATTTGTTTCTTGTTTTGTACGCTAATTAGAACCAAGGGAAAAGAAATGCATATTGCATTATGTAGAAAACAAAATTTACATCCTGCTGCATATATAAAAACTATACAATTTTTTACTTTTCATTAATGATTTTCAATTTTACTGAAAAAGTTTGAAAATTTCATAAATATTTTCAAACTGTCAAAATTAATTTATTTTCGATAAATACTCTCAATGGTTAGGGATGGGACAAATTTATTGGTTATTCAGAGAGTGATTCGAATTGAACAACGTACAAAAGTCGGTGTTCGCTCAGACAATTTTGTATGGGGAACTAAGTAATTCCTTCATAATTAAGGGTCGAACAACGAATGAGAGAGCGAACAACGCTCGTCTGTACATGGCATAAACAACACGGTTTCCATTTAGTCTCTATCCCACCTCATTCGTAAACTTTCGGTTATACCATTTTGAGTTCATCTTTATCGGGCATTTTGTCTTCTCCTCCCATTCGTTAGCAGGTGGAACGTTTTTCAATTTTTTCAGTCGTCGTTTTTATTTTTTTTTTTTTTTTTTTTTGTATTATTTTGGTTGGCCCACTTTCTATAGGGATAGAAGGTTTAGTGCCATGTCTCCATATGTAGCTTAAGCTACGAATTTGACTTTATCCATAGATGGTGGTTTGTGTTTTGCAGGTTGACTTCGATCTTCTTTAAGAATTTGACCACAATGTTCAGACTTTCTAAGCCTTGTGTATCAGTGAACTCTTCTACTGTGAAGGAGTCACATAGTTGCGAAAAGCATCTTCTTTTGTTATTAAATTTACGAAAATTGAAAATTCCATGCGCAGCTGTTTGGATTCTGTTGAACGACTCGTAATTTATAGGTTATCCGTATTTAAAAACGCACGTGTTAGTTAAGCGAACGCTTAACAACCGCCATTTTGTAAAAATCTATTTTTAAGCCCGTGGGCGTGTAATACTCATTTAAAATTTTACGTCTTTCTTGTGAGCCGTCCGAGGACGAACTGGTCGTTTTTATTTTAGCTCCGTTCCAAAACCTAAAAAAAAATCTACTAATTTTACAAGTTTTGCAACTTTTTACTCGAAAACCGTTCCTGAACCCATAAAACTGGTAAAGCATTGAATCAAATTTAAGAGAGCACAAAACAAAATGGCTTTCTCTTTGTAAACTTTTTGTTATGTTGATTTTGAAGTATTGCCATCTAATTTGGCATATTTACTAGATTTGCGTTCCCGAACTTTTCAAATTATTTTGTACTCTGAGACTTGAAATGTTTCCCTTTTACTAGCTTTACTATTAAACAAGTGAAAAAGCGTTAAGTTCGGCCGGGCCGAACTTTGGATACCCTCCACCACAGGTATACTGACAGGTATTTGAAATGAAAAAGTGGACCGATATTTATAATTTTTAGTAGAGATGTACAAAATTGCAGCGAATTCGGTTGAAAAGCGCGCTCAAGAACCCCAAAATACCGAAATTGGGGGGTACCCTTATATGGGGGATATCCGAAAAAATTTACCTATATTAATAATTATTTGTGGAGAAATTTGGGACCTATTAAGAACTCAAAATACAAAATTACAGCCAGTTCGGTGGAAAACTGCGATCAAAACCCCCAAAATACTAAAAATTCGGAGGTACCGTTATATGGGGGCTACAAGAAAAAGTGGACCTATATTTATAATTTTTTGTGGATACATTTAGTACCCAATATGAACCCACTGTACCAAATTTCAGCGAATTCGGTTGAAAATCGCGCTTAAGAACCTCAAAATACCGAAAATTTGGGGTGCCCTTATATGCGGGCTACCAGAAAAAGTGGGCCGATATTTATAATTTTTAGTAGAGATATTTGGTACGCAATATGAAACCAATGTACAAAATTCCAACGAATTCGGTTGAAAAGCGAAATTGGGGGGTACCCTTATATGGGAGATATCCGAAAAAATTGACCTATATTTAAATTTTTTTGTGGAGAGATTTAGTACCTGCTAAGAACTCAAAATACTAAATTACAGCCAATTCGGTGAAAAATACGATAAAAACCCAAAAAAAATACTGAAAATTAGGAGGTACCGTTATATGGGGGCTACAAGAAAAAGTGGACCTATATTTATAATTTTTTGTGGATAAATGTATCCAAATTCGCTTGAAAAACGCGCTCAAGAACCCCAAAATACCGAAAATTGGGGGGTACCCTTATATGGGAGCTATGCCTAAACGTGGACCGATATATCCCATCTTCGAACTTGACCTGCCTGCAGACAAATGACAACCCTATGCAAAATTTCAGCACCCTATCTCAATTCCTTCAGAAGATAGCGTGATTACAACAGACGGACGGACATGGCTAGATCGTCTTAGAATTTTACCCTGATCAAGAATATATATACTTTATAGGGTCGGAAATGAATATTTCGATGAGTTACAAACGGAATGACAAAATTAATATACCCTCCATACTATGGTGGAGGGTATAAAAAGTACTGGAACAGACCATTTGTTGGCGAAGGTTTGCGTACGACGTCGCTTGAGTCTTGGCAGAACGACGATTAACAAGCGAATTTTATGAAGGCTGGAGTCTTGGAGGCTTCCCACTGTTCTTTTGAATCTCTCTCTCTCTCTCTTATTATTTTTTTTTTTCGTTTTTCCATATATAGTTCCTTTGCTCCATATAGTTCCTTTGCTCCATATAATTCCTTTAGTCCATACAATTTCTTTGCTCCATATAGTTCCGACTCCTACATAGTTCTTTTGAATCTCTCTCTTTCATCATTCTTTTTTCGTTTTTCCATATATAGTTCCTTTGCTCCATATAGTTCCTTTGCTCTTCATAGTTCCTATGCTCCAAATAGTTCCTTTGCTCCATATAGTTCCTTTGCTCTTTATAGTTCCTTTGCTCCATAGTCAGTAGTCACACGGGGAAATTTTGTGGTAAAGTAAATTGAGTTTATGGACGAAAGAGGTGAGAGGAATAAAAGGGGGTACAGACATACTTGTACACCGCAATTCTCTTTTGTTTCGTTATTCGTTGTAAACAACTGAAGTTGGCTGCAGAAAAGTTTTGCAATTTCTTTCATTTTATTTTTTCTGTCGGCAAACAAACATCAAGGCAGTTATTAAAATTAAGGGAATTCCAACTGTTTTAGAAAGAGGACATGTCTGGAAGATCTTCACCGATTAGTTGTATCCTAGTTCATACGAGAGCTACACACTCCCAGAGAAACGTGTCAAAATTTGAAACCGATTGGATTATTAGTTTTTGAGTTATCGTGCCCGCCATTCGTTTTGAGAAAAACGCGTTTAAAGTTTGAGAAGCCCTTTAGCCGTCACTTGATGCTAACACAATAAATCGGCTATATCTTTAAGAGTTCTTGAGATTTTCACTTGAAATTTTGTAGAGACATTCTAGAATTAGAGTAGATTCGAATTAAATCAAAAAAATTTTTGACACCGAGAATGGGGGGGTCCCCTTAAAACCTTTTGCGAGAAAAAAACTACATAACAGGTCTTCATTCTACGGCTATAGCTTCTTCGAGTAATTCAAAACTTCCTTTTATAATTAAGTTTTTTTCTTTTAATTCCATTTTTTAATTTTCATGAACAATGGTCAAACGAGAAAATGAGTGTGTGGAAGAATAAGAAAATTCATAAATTTAATGCAAGGGTTATTTGCGTGTCTAAACGACAATGCAATTTTTAAAGAAATTGAAAAGAAAATTTGTCATGAAATTTTGCACGTGTGACTACTGACATACAGTTCCTTTGCTTCAAATAGTTCAAAAAAGGAACTGGATCAGAGAAAGGAATTATATTAATTAAAGAACTGGAACTAGTTCCGTTCGTTCCTTTCTCGGAATAGTTCCAATGAACTAGTTCGTTCCGGTCGTTCCGGAGCGACACAACTCTAGTATCAATTGAGAGAGAGAGTGGGCAAAATCGCATCAGTGTCACTTTTTTTTAGAAATTTATTAAAAATAAAACATATTTTCGTGTAAAAAAACAGCTATCAGGGATTTGAAAACTCTACTCAACATTTAAACACGTATCAGAGAATAATTCGAATACAAATTGAACCCACCAGTATTGAAAACTTTGCATAAATATATACAAAAACAGACTAATTAAAACGGAACTCCCAACCCAAAAACTAAACTTGTAAAAAAAACGTAAAATCTCTAAAGAGGAAGCAGAGAAATGGTTAAACTATTCGCCTTAAGTGTTTTCTATAAAGGTAGCCCCGAAGCGAGATTGCTCAAGTCCACATATGATTTGCAATCATTTTCATTTTTCCAAAGGACAGCGGTACAGGAGTTTATGACGTAAGTAAAAGGGATGATGTGGGCGAATGATTGTGTATGTGTTACTATTGCAAAAAAGGACAATAATTAAAAAATCCCATGAATCATCAATTTCCCTAAACCCCCGTTTGTTTTTTTTGTTTTAGTTTTGCCTCAAAAACCCTGGTCGAACGCACACAACAGGCTATGCGCCAATCGGTCAAACAAGATGTTTACATGTGTCATGTCTATGTGAGAACAGATAATCTGGCTGGTGTTCTAATTGCCGATCACGAATATCCCCAAAGAGTGGCACACACATTAATTACCAAAATCTTAGACGAATTTGCTGCCAAAATATCCACAGATCAATGGCAAACCGGTACCGAGAGTAGTATAGATTTCAGTATACTACCATCATATCTGGCAAAATATCAAGATCCCAAAGAAGCTGATGCCTTAACGAAAATGCAAAATGATTTGGATGAGACGAAAATCATTTTGAAAAATACCATTGAAGCTGTACTGGAGCGAGGTGAAAAACTTGATGATATGGTAGCAAAATCGGAGAATTTATCAATGCAAAGTAAAGCATTCTATAAGACGGCGAAAAAGACAAATTCATGTTGTAATTTCGGTTAAGATGATACGATGAGATTTTATTTAAAATATTTTGAATAGTAGCTGAATTTTATGTGCGTGTGAGGAGGGAGGGTGATCAATGTGAAAATAAGATGTGAAGACGATTTAGATGAAACGTGGAAAAAAGAAACACTCAATAAAGGATAAACTATGTGGATTGGAATAATCGTAACATTTTTTTATATATAATTATTTTTTTTTTTACTATCATGATAATTTTAGTGTTGACTGTCAAATTAAGGTGATATAAGAGTGCTGAAATTTTTTCCTAAAATGTAGGTGTGCAAGAGAAATTGAGAATTTATCCAAGATTGCTCGTTCTTTCTGTAGAAAGTTGCAAAAATTTGTAAGATTTTTTAACTGCAATAATGGTGGATCTTCATCCTGATCTGGATCTTTTTATCTCCTCTACCATAAAGTTATACACTTCACCTTTACCTAAAAATTTACAATTCCGTATACAATACCTCCAAACATTCACAAAACAGAAAATGCCCGGTCGATTTATTCCAGTCCGTCTGTCTGCATGTTGGAATCACGATAGAGCTACGCACTCTTGCAAATACTTTTATATTATTCCTAGGATTTTTGGTATTGAAAATAACCTCATTATGTTTCAAATCTCATTACCAAAAATTATCAATATCGATCCCCATTTTGGTATAGCCCACTATTCGGTATTTTGAGAATTTGAAACATTTTTTTTCTCACGACTTTTTCGGTATGTTCTAGGTTCTGTTTTACCAGGAGTTTTTTTCTTGGAGCCCCCATTAATTTTAGATATTCTGAATGTCAATCTCATGGTGCAGAGATTTAAAAAGTTTGGGCCGGTCGATTTTAACATCGTTTTTACTTGATCTCCAAGCCAGCATCCTTGCTGTTGCCGTTATATGGTTCTTGAATTTGAACTGATATTTCTGTCTTTGATCTTGATACAACTATAGATAAAATTTCAGCTTTCTAACGGCAGATAGAACTATTACAAAAGACAGACATGATTAAATCCTTGAAACTTAATTGTTAATCCTTAGTTCTTTGACCCGTTCGTTTGCTTCACCGATTGGGAAAGTATCTTGTGTAACAAAATTCCCATTACTAAGATCAAGAGAAGAAATGAATCATCATTGCTCATAATTTAACGCTTCAAAACGTTTTAAATCTCCATTCCTTAAGATTCTAAAAACTACTTTTTTCTTATAGAATGATTTTTTCCTATAGAAAATACCAACATGCTATTTCTATTTCAAATCTCATATGTATGACGAAAACAACAACAAAAAAAAACATACAAAAATTCTTATCAAACTGTTTCAAGGCTTATCATAATTAATTTAGATTCTCCATACATCTTATTGAAGAGACTATGTTATCAGTCATAATACACTTAATGACGCTACATTCGGCAGACAAATTTGAAATGTGACGTAGATTATGATAAAAAATATATATATCCACGAACTTTAGTCATTTAAATGAATATGAAGTCAAAATGAGTTACTTCATACACTGGACCGGCCTAAAATTCTATCCGGTACTTCTATTTAAATCAATCACGATGTTTGCTATTGAAAATCAGAAATGTGGACTCTCAAATATGCACCATTTGTGGGATTTTTTAGGTCTTAATTGCCAATCAAATTGATTGCAGTTTCGAATATTTTTTTTTTATTTGGTATAAGACCTCATAACAATAAAATTGGTATTTCGGTATTCTGAAGCTCCTGGCCGCACATTTAACAACCTGGGATTTCGCACATATTATTATTGATTATAAGAGCTCTTCAAAATAAAATTTCAACATGGGCACATTTTTGATTTCCCGTATTTTTATGGTCCTGGCCAACCAAATTGGCTATAGTTGAACATGTTTTTGTTGTAAAAGGTTGGCTGTTGGTGAAAGTTCTTTCCTGAAAATATTGATAAAAAACGAGTTTACCCAGCATCATCAAAATGACGAATATCGAAAATATTATTGACAAATTAAATATGTCATTTCGTTTGCAACACATCGAAATATTCGGCCGAGACCCCATAAATTTAATATACTATCAGATCAGAATAAAATTCTATGTCAGTATAAACATGCCTATCCGCCTGTAATAGTAAAAGTGCTCGCAATCTTTACGATAATGCTTAGAAATTCCGCATGTTCACGCTATCTTCTGAAGGAATTGAGATAGATCGCCAAAATTTTGCATAGAGTCTTTTGTCTGCCGACAGGTCAAATTTGAAGATGGGCTATATCGGTTCACGTTTAGGCATAGCCCCCATATAAGGGTACCGCCCAATTTTCGATATTTTGGGGTTCTTGAGCGCGCTTTTCAACCGAATTCGCTGAAATTTGGTATATTGAGACATTTTTGGGTACCAAAAGTCTTCACTAAAAATGTAAAATACGGCCAATTTTTCTGGTAGCCCCCATATAACGGTACACCCCAATTCGCTGAAATTTGGTATATTGAGTTATTTTTGGGTACCAAAAGTCTCCACTAAAAATGTAAAATACGGACCATTTTTTCTGGTAGCCTCCATATAACGATACACTCAAATTTGCGGTATTTTGGGGGGTTTAAAGCGAGTTTTTAAACCGAATTCGCTGAAATTTGGTACAATGGGTTCTTATTGGATACCAAATTTATCCACTAAAAATTTTAAATATATGTCCATTTTTTGGGAAGGCCCCACATAAGAACAACCACAATTTTTAGTATCTTGGGGTTCTTGAGCGCGTTCTTCACCCAAATTCGCTGAAATTTGGTAAATTGAGTTATTTTTGGGTCCCAAATTTCTCCACTAAAAATTATAAATATCGTTCCACTTTTCCTGGTAGCTCCCATATAACGGTACCCCCAATTTACGGTATTTTGGGGTTCTTGAGCGCGGCTTTCAACCGAATTCGCTGAAATTTGGTATATTGAGTTATTTTTGGGTACCAAATGTCTCCACTAAAAATTATAAACATCGGTCTACTTTTTCTGGTAGACCCCAAACCAATTTATCCACTAAAAATTATAAATATCGCAAATGGTAGCAAATCTTCCTACTAAAAATTATAAATGTTCGCCCCCTTTTAGGGGTAGTTCCCATATAACCTCCTTCTTATGTTAAAATAGTTAGCTGATTGGTTCCGTGTGTTGGAGTTGTCCGCATGTAGGCGTATTCTACCATAGTATAGGGGATAGTCGTTACTCGAAATAGTCAGTTTTACCCTACAAGTTATGGAATTCTATCGTGATAAAAAAACTCTAACCTGACGATAATGAAATATATCGGCCAGCATTTAGGCATCTCCCTCATATAATTATATCTCCTGAAGGAAACAAAACAAAAATATTGGGTTCGAAATTGACATATGTCGGTCATTAATTAGCCATAGCCCTCATATAACTATAACCTTAAATATTCGCAAATTCTCACAGTATGTAATCTAATTTTGTAATCTAAATTGCAGAAGTTTGAGGATTGTATATTCTACCATGCATTATTAGTATCAGTCCACACTTTGGGGTTTTTTCATTAAAAATTGCTGAAATTTGTATTTGGTGTACAGTTTGTAGGATTATCGTATAGGTTCACTTTTTGTTATGTTTCCTATATTTTCATTTCAAGTATCTGTCAGTATACCTATGGTGAACGGTATCCAAAGTTCGGCCCGTCCGAACTTAACGCTTTTTCACTTGTTTATGATAGCCCCGATATAACGGCACCCCTAAATATTCGGTATTATAGGGAGGTTTAGTATCGTTTTACTACAAAATTAGCTGTAATTCCGTATTGGGCAGAAAATCTCCTTACTAAAAAATTATTAATATTGGTCAACTTCGATATTTTTGGAAGTTTGGTCGATGTTTTCAACCGAATTGCCTGTAATTAAGTACTACAGATTCTCCTACCAAAAATTAACAATTTTTGTACATCTTTTAGGTTAGCTTTCATAGTGAATTCTCATAATGAATTCTCATTGCGTAGAAAATATTCTTACCAAAAATGATCACTTTTGACTTCAGTTTCGGGATATGTCCCAATAAAGCGGCACCTCCCATATTTCGGTATTTTGGGCACATTTTTCAACCGAATTGCCTATAAGTAGGTACTACGGATTCCCACTTTGGTAGTATTCTGGATTCTCATTGGGTTGTACTACGGATTCTCAATGGTCCACATTTAAGGGTATATGCGAGTTCTTTAAAATTGCGATATTTTGGGAGGGTGTGGGCACGTTTTTCAACTGAATTGATATTTTGGATTTTTTATAAGCGTGTTTCTGTCATATATATTTTCACATATATTTGTTACTTTTTTTATAAATAGTTCTGTGAAACTTTTGTTGTATATATGTTCAAATACACATAACCTAAAAATCCATGAACATAAAAGTATTAAATAAATAAAAAACGCCATATAAAAAGGTACATTTAAAAATTATATAAATCAATAGAAATAAGAGGAAGCTTCCTATTTATGGTGTAAACTCTTGAATTGTAACAAAACTAAACCATTATTAAATCTTAACACTACTATGTGCATGCTTATACAAAATCAGTGTATATTTCATTCATATTTGTATGATGTTCTGTATGTATCAATGTTTTACATACTATATATAAACATATACAAAATAATAATCCTAAATAACAATTTTTTTAGATGTTGTATTTGTATTATAAACAAAGAAATAATTAATTGAGGAATTAAAGCGAAACTCGATAATATTTAATACGAGATATAGATATACAGTGAGTGTAAAAAGTATTTTGCCTCAATAAAAATTTGAAAAAATTCCAATACATACGCCTGAAGCCAGCAAACTAAAGATGTAAAATGACTTATGTATGATGGAGTATATTTGTGGACATATTTAGATCGTATTTCTGCAAGAATCACAGCGAAAGACCTATTGGTCTCGAAGATATCGGCCGAAATATATAACAATCCAAAAATGTTTATCACAAAAAAGTATTTTGCTTTTTATTATTATTTAAGAAAAAATTGTTACATTGAAC